AAAAAAAAATCTTAAGCAGTTTTCTCGGGAATGTACGTGTTCCCTGCCTTTTAAAAATAGTTACACTCAAAGTGCCTGTGGCCTACTGCAGCAGTTGTTTGTCTAGTAGGATATCTCTTTGTTTTATTTTCATGGGCTCTTGCTCCAGGGGGGTTTATTGTCAAACCCAGGGTTGGAGTAGTAAGGCTCAAACCTTTTAATAATAATGGACGTTCCATAAAATTTCCACGTATTCTTATAGTGTTAGATGCAATATATTAAACTTCAGAATCACTACCGCCTCGTGCTGGTGCCAGCAAGAAGAATTATTATTCTTGAGTTCTCATTTTATTTGACCTCCTGTAGATTTCAGAGGATTTGAACCATAATCCTTGGAAAGTTTTAAGTTCTCATTAACCCTGTTTTTTCTGCCTGCAGGGTGTTTTTAAGGACATTCAGGGACTAGTTTAAACCCTAAATATAAACTTACTAAGTGTGAATATGTTGTTTGTTGAATAATTCTTGTTCCTTGTACCTTGCTTACTTTATTTACTTGAGGCTACAAAGTAGCATCTTGTCCAGAGTTTAGAACTCTAAGAACCATGTGGAAACCAGCTGCTGGGTGTTATGCTATAAATCCCTTTTGTCTATTCCAGGCAGAGTGAATTCCACAGCCCTACCTATGTTCTCTGTTGCCTAATGGTTGTAGGACGACGAGATGCACACACATAATCACCAACAAAAATTTAAAATGGCTCAACTAGTCAACCAATAGGGCAGCTCATTGGTGGTGAGAAAAGCTATTTGAGCCAGAAATTTTCAGCTCTTTTGAACACCTTCTAGTTTAGTTCAATTAATGGAAGAAAATTGCTGTCCTAAATGCAGAATTTCTTAATACTTGGGAGATCATTGGTGTACCTGAGAGGTCACCAAACCAAGGTTGGAAGTCATAGTGATTATATCAGGACTTAGCTGGAGTGGGTGGCTTTAGTCCCACAGTTCATACCTGAGGAGGATCACGTGGAATGTATTGAAGTGGCCAGTTGTTCCTAACAGGGAGAGATGGGTTTTGTGCCACTAGATATTTGTTAAAAGCCTTAGATACTAAAGATTATGGTGAAATGTAGTTCTCAGGGAGTCCCACAACTAGTACAGGCTCTTATGAAGAATCTGAGAGGACCCCTCCACCATGCTGTTTACACAAGATTGTTTAAAGTTGTCTGAGGTAGTCCTGCAACTCCAGAGAGGCCAAATCAGAGCCTCTGACTGGTGTTCAAGATCAGCCTTCATTTCAAGAGGAAGCCAAGAGACCGTGCAAAGGAATGGTCTCGGTTCCAGGCAGACCCAGCAAGTGTCACTCTGACCTTTCCCTTTACTTTTCTGTCTACTCTCCTTACCCACCCCACATCCAGGCTCCTGCTCTGGTGGGTTTATTCTATAAAGTGGGGGAAAAAAAAAAGGTCATACAGGGACCCTGTTCCTAGTGCCACCATCAGCGGCAGCTACCCGTCACTAGCTCACAGTTTGCTTGCTGGCAGTTTGTGCTCCGTGGCCCCTGAGCTCTCCAGCCAGCTCCCGAGGATCACTGCAGCACGGCCCTCTAGGTGAGGAGCCCAGCACCGCTGCTGTTCCTGTGATGGTTTTCCAAAAATAAATAGCTGTCCAGTTCCATGTAAAAAATAAATGGCAGTTACTCTTGTATAGAAAAAAAAAAAGCCTGAAGGAAATATACTAAACTCTTTTTGATGACTTATTTTCTTCTTTGTGCTTTCTTACATGTTTTATATTTTTTTACAGTAAACATATCCTTTTCTCAGAGAAAAAAATGTTGCCACAAAACATTCAACCCTCACAGAGAAGGAAATAGCATTTAAAAGCTTCCTGGTCAAATTTCTATTAAAAGCATGGCTGTGCATTAGGTACTGAGGTGAGCCATTTCCTGCTTTGGTTATGTTATTTTTTTCTACTAACTTGGGAGCCTTAATCCAAACAAAAACAGTTTTTTGCCTGACTTCAACTTTTAGCTTCAGGTTTCCCTGAAGGAGTTGAATTAGCTATTTCTAAGGTCCATGCCAACCATAAAATTCTGTTTGAAGAAATGAAGTGCTAACCAGCAGAAAGTTGGCAATATCTACAAGAGGATTTTGCCAGTAGAAAAATTGCTTTATTTTCTTTTGCTGACATAATACTTCAATTTGGTATCAATTTAGGGTCTCCTTTTAATTTGAACAATTTTTTTAACTCCCCAGCATTTGGCATTTTGTAATAAACCTGCCACTTATTTTATACTGGTCATTCATTGTGAATATAGAATAAAAGTAATGGTCAAACTATCCATAGAGAAACTTTTGGTGACTTCAACTCAGAATCCACTCTTAGCTGGAAAGTGGCTCTCTTCCGTTCATTTTTCAAACCTCCTGCCTCACTCTGAAACATGCTGGTTTCACCCAGTTGGCTAACAAGTATTTGAGCTGTGTATTTATGTTTTATTAACCTTTTAACATTTATCTTTGGACATTGCTTTTAGACATAGTTAAATTAAAAATAAATTGTTTTTTTCTTTTCCCAGAGGTGTCCAACCCAGTGTTGGATGAAACTTGCTGCAGGTCATACCCTTTGTCATTGGAAAACAAAGTCAGGATGTTGTGGTAGTTTGGTAGTTTTTTACTGTCCGTTAGCGGTTGCAGCAATGACAGTTTCTGGCTGTACTACAAAATGATTAAACTTTTATTGGGGGGAATAAAAATAGAATAGAAAAAAGTGAAGTAGGATGAAAATTGAGGGTTTTTTCCCCTAAAGATGGACTAACATAGAGATGTTGAATGATCTCTAGCAATTAGTTTTTGTGGCAGGTATAAAATTATAAAATTGTTCCCCATTGCTGTTTTTATACCATAAGTCTTAGATAAACTAAGAGCATGTTTATGAATTATGCATGCAGTTAGAGTACATTCTTATCAAAAATGAGCAGTTGCTTGTCATTCTTTTATCCAGGGAATCCTCAAGTCTCTGGTGACCAGAAAACATTTTTAATTATTAGAGAAGTTTTTCTAACTTAAGGCTTTGAAATAGCTTTCCTTAATTCAGTTACTGCTGTTCTTGTTTTGCCTCAGTTCAATTCTACTCACTGTTTTATGAGAAATACCATCAGGTGTTTTTGTGATGCCTAGTTCCATAGAACCTAAGCAGTACAGTGCCTTGAGGAAATGAAAAAGGGACAATAGTCATTTGTGTTTTTCCTTTGAAATACATTTTTAAAAAATTCCCGGGTGCATATATATGATAAGCTGTAGTTAGTTTCACAGTTGCTATTGTAGAGTCTAGAATGGAGTTGGCACTTCCAAATTCCTAGTATCCAAAAAGGTGATCTGATGAAATCAAATCAGATGCATCTCTGCAGATCATGATGTTCAATCACAGCCCTCACTTTTAGTCAAAGGCAAACACCTGCAAGGAGATGCCCAGTTGCTTCGCTAAGATGCGGTCTCTCAAAGGGAGAACCTCCGCTTTATAGAGGAGCTCTTTATAGAGCTTTCCTGTCTCTGCTGATGAATTGCATTTATCCCAGCTTTCTCCCAGATAGATTTCAGGATAAAAGCTAAATAGAACGCCACTGGGAAGAAGGGCAGATGGATTTCTGTATTCCAAGGAAGAGATGCTATCAGTGGCCCTGAGGGGAACATCAACTGAGCGGCAGGGGCAAGGTTCTGTCCATAGCTGAAACCCCAGACTTAGCACAGTGCCTTGCACACAGCACACACTCGAATATTAACAATGAACATTTAGTGAAAATACTGGTTGTGGTGCACCACTTTTTGGCAGGTTATTTGTCATGTGAGTTTTCGGTGATAAGAAATAAATGTTACTTTTATTTTGCTTTTTTCCCCCAGCACTTTATTATGAAATTTTCCAAACATGCAGAATTGTTGCAAGAATTGTACCATGGCCGTCTACCACCTGGAATCCACAAATAGCATTTTGTTACATTTGCCTTACCACTTCAGCGATGCTCCTTTTAATGAGACTTATTAAGGTTGGTTTCTCTTTAAAAATCGCACTGCTAAGATAATTGAACACCTTTAATTCAGTTGTCTTAAGCTCCTCCGGGAAACATGGTATTTGCTTTATAGCTAAAATTATAGTCCTTAATTTAAGCTAGTTTAAACTTGTAAATCTGTCATGCTGAATTTCAATCTTATTTATTTTGCCTGAAGGGATGTTTTTTATAATAGAATTATTTGAAAGTCCTTGATCAATTGTACAGAATATTCTAATGTTATTTCCACACTTGATTAATTATCCAATTAATTTCTCTGGTGAGAGTGCAATTTTGGCCCCATTTTGCTTATGCAGCATTCCAGGATTATGTTCCCAGAGGGCTTGAAGAGGCAGGGTAATTTAGTGTATAAACCAGTAAATTAGGAGCTAAGAGATTTAGATTTTATTCCTGACTGACCACAGGCAAATCACTTCTCTTTGTGTCCATTTATCTACCTGTAAAGTGGGGACTAGAATTTGAAATTTAGATATTATTAAGTAATGGGTAACATTTATTAATGCTTGGATCTATTAAGAAAGACACTTTAAAAAGAAAAAATACACTGAATCTGGGGAGGCTCTCATAATTCTCTAACTGTATGACAAGCTACGGAATGAACTCTGACTTTTGAAAAATTGAAAC